TTTGCTACAGTGTAAACACACACAGTGAGTGGTATTGCTGGGGAGTTCTGTTATTCATGGGCAGTGAACATTCTGAGTTCCAAGAATCAGCTGTTAGGGAACTATTAATGAAATAAATACTAACTAACCATGTGCTAATCTTCACAGAAAATGAGTACTACAGTAGCATCCCTTGTGTTTTCTTAAAAGCTGCTGTTTGTGTGGACAAAGTCTAAAAACCTTTGATTAAGTGGGGAGGCATGTGTTTATTTACAGATCAATAATATATATATTTTAAAAAAATTACTATTTGCATTTTTGTCTTTTGTTCTTCATCCTGTTTTCCCCTTTTTCTTTGTTACTGGCTGACCACAGACCCCTGAGAATTCTGGTAACATATGTGGGGTATATGCTTGCACTCGTTCAATGTCTTATTACAGAGAAGCAAAACACAGAGTAGGTTCTCACCGCACAGAGAGCACGCTGCTATGAGCCTTGTAACAGGCAAGGTTGAAGCAGCACTGAAACCCATTTAACCCCTTAAGGACACATGACATGTGTGACATGTCATGATTCCCTTTTATTTCAGAAGTTTGGTCCTTAAGGGGTTAAAAAGTCGTAGGTTCTACAACTGTAGAACCGAAACACGCGTCGTGCTATTTGCCTCCCAATTTACTTGCACAATATATTCACATACATTTTTTTCTCTTACTTTTCTTGCATCCTACTTGTGTTTATTGAGATGTAAAGCGAGAGAGGGCAGTACACTAGGCTGTAGGTTTACACTTCTCTGTCATTTCTTGTTTATGGCCTTTAATGTACTATAGTCATAATACATTCTCTGCTCAATCAAGTCTGTGGCTGTTTTCACTAGTAGCCATATTGAAGCAGAGGATCTAAACATAATTATAACTAGTATACTTTAATAAGTATTAGACTCAGACAGAATCTTCTTTTGTACATGTGTATATTCTTAGAGTTTTCCAGCGCAAACATGTCTAATTGCGTCTTCTGGATTCTGTCTGCTGCTGATTGTGTTTGCCTATACAGTAAGACATGATATTACACCCCAAGCAGTGTACCAGACAGAGCACATTGTTCCATGAGGGTATATACATGTATCTCACAAAAGGACATTTTTGTAAATATTTTATTATTTCTTTTCATGGGACAACACTGAAGAACTGACAACACTGAAGAAATGACACTCTGCTACAACGTAAAGTAGTAAGTGTTCAGCCTGTATAACAGTGTAAATTTGCTGTCCCTCAAAATAACTCAACGCACAGCCATTAATGTCTAAACCGTTGGCAACAAAAATGAGTACACCCCAAATTGGGCCCAGAGTGTCAATATTTTGTGTGGCCACAATTATTTTCCAGCACTGCCTTAACCCTCATGGGCATGGAGTTCACCAGAGCTTCACAGGTTGCCACTGGAGTCCTCTTCCACTCCTCCATGATGATATCATGGAGCTAGTGGATGTTAGAGACCTTGCGCTCCCCCACCTTCCATTTGATGATGCCCCACAGATGCTCAATAGGGTTTAGGTCTGGAGACATGCTTGGCCAGTCCGTCACCTTTACCTTCGGCTTCTTTAGCAATGCAGTGGTCCTCTTGGAGGTGTGTTTGGGTCGTTATCATGTTGGAATACTGCCCTGCGGCCCAGTCGCCAAAGGGAGGGGATCATGCTCTGCTTCAGTATGTTACAGTACATGTTGCCATTCATGGTTCCCTCTATGAACTGTAGCTTCCCAGTGTCGGCTGCACTCATGCAGTCCCAGACCATGACACTCCCACCACCATGCTTTACTGTAGGCAAGACATCCTTGTCTTTGTATTCTTCACCTGGTTGCCGCCACATATGCTTGACTCCATCTGAACCAAATGAGTTTATCTTGGTCTCATCAGACCACAGGACATGGTTCCAGTAATTTATGTCGTTAGTCTGCTTGTCTTCAGCAAACTCTTTGCGGGCTTTCTTGTGCATCATCTTTAGAAGAGGTTTCCTTCTAGGACGACAGCCATGCAGACCAATTTGATGCGGAGTATGGTCT